GAATATATCTGTGAAGTCCATTTGGTCCAGTGTGTCATTTAAAGTCTTTATTTCCTTGTTGATCTTTTGCTTAGATGATCTGTCCATTTCAGTGATGGGTGTGTTAAAGTCCCCCACTATTATTGTATTGTTGTCAATGTGTTTCTCTGCTTTTGTTATTAATTGCCTTATATAATTGGCTGCTCCCATGTTAGGAGCATATATATTTACAATTGTTAGATCTTCTTTTTTGATAAAGCCTTTAAGTAGGATATAGTGTCCTTCCTCATCTCTTATTACAGTCTTCAGTTTAAAATCTAATTTGTCTGATAGAAGGATTGCCACTCCAGCTTTCTCTTGGTGTCCTTAACATGGTAAATGGTTTTCCACCCCGTCACTGTCAATCTGGAGGTGTCTTTGGGTCTAAAATGAATCTCTTGCAGACAGCATATTGATGGGTCTTGTTTTATTATGCAATCTGATAGCCTCTGTCTTTTGTTTGGGGCATTTAGCCCATTTACATTCAGGGTAGCTATTGAAAGATATGAATTTAGTGTCATTGTATTGCCTGTAAGGTGACTGTTACTGTATATTGTCTGTGTTCCTTTCTGGTCTATGCTGCTTTTAGCATCTCTCTTTACTTAGAGGACCCCTTTCAATATTTCTTGGAGGGCTGGTTTTGTGTTTGCAAATTCCTTTAGTTTTTGTTTGTCCTGGAATCTTTTTATGTCTCCTTCTATTTTCAATGACAGCCTAGCTTGATATAGTGTTTTTGGCTGCATATTTTTCTCATTTAGTGCTCTGAAGATATGCCAGTCCTTTCTGGCCTGCCAGGTTTCTGTGGATAGGTCTGTTGCCATTCTAATGTTTCTAGCATTGTAGGTTACAGATCTCTTCTCCCAAGCTGCCTTCAGGATTTCTCTTTGTCTCTGAGACTCATAAGTCTTACTATTAGATGTCAGGTTGTTGACCTATTTTTATTGATTTTGATAGCTGTTCTCTGTACCTCATGAATTTTGTTGCCTATTTTCTTTTCCCAATTAGGGAAGTTCTCTGCTATAATATCTCCAATATACCTTCTGCACCTCTCTCTCTCTTTCATCTTCTTCTGGGATCCCAATTAATCTAATGTTGCTTCATCGTACAGTATCCCTTATCTCTCGAATTCTGCCCTCGTGATCCAGTAGTTGTTTATCTCTCTTTTGCTCAGCTTCTTTATTTTCCATCATTTGGTCTTCTATATCACTAATTCTCTCTTCTGCCTCATTTATCCTAGCAGTTAGAGCCTCCCTTTTTGAATGCACCTCAAAAATACCCTTTTTGATTTAGACTTGGTTAGATTTTAGTTCTTTTATTTCTCTAGAAAGTGTTTCTCTAATAACTTCCATGCTTTTTCCAAGCCCATCTAATATCTTTAAAATCATCATTCTGAACTCTAGTTCTGACATCATACTAATGTCCGTATTGATTAGGTCCCTGGCAGTCGGTACTCCCTCTTGTTCTTTTTGTTGAGGTGATTTTTTTCCATCTTGTCATTTTGTCCAGAGGTGAAGAGATTAATGAGAGAACAAAATGCTAACAGGGTCACAACGTCCCCAGAAAATATACACTAAACAAATCAGAAAAGACGTGAAACTGGGGGGAAAGAAAGGGAAAGAAAGAAAAAAGAAAAAGATAAAAACAAAAAAAACAAAACAGAACAAAAAAACAGAATATGATCAAATATGATCAGGCTGGTGCATAGATCAGTGCCACATTCTAGATTTTGGGCGTATTTTGGTCTGTTAGAAGAAAATGCCTCCCAAAATTTTAAAGAAAAGAAAACTTATATATGTACAAAAATAAGGGTTAATATGATGAAGGGATGGAATATGACTGTAAAGATGAAAATTATAGAACATTTTATAAAAGGAATTGATAAGATAACAAATTGGTTGAAAAAAGAAAGAAGAGGATAAAAAAAGAGATTATGTGATTAGGCAGGAGACTAGAACAAATCCATACACTAGAGATTTAGGGTATATTTTGATCTCTTAGGAGAAACTGTATCTCAAAATTTTAAAGAGAGAACAACACATATATATATACCAAAAATAAGGGTAACTACTATGAAGGGATAGAATATGACTCTAAAAATGAAAAATAAAAAATATTTTTTAAAAAACTGATTGATACGATATTGGTTGAAAAAGGGAAAAAGAAAAACTCAAAAAAAAAAGAAAAAAGAAAAAAAAGACAGTTAAAAAAATTAACTTTGAAAGACTAAAGAATCATGGGGAAAAAGCCATGAATTCTATGTGCAGTATTCCCCTAGCGCTGGAATTCTGCCATTCTCATTGATCTGTAAACTTGGTCTTGGCCGGCTTTCTTGCAGATCTTCTGTGGGAGGGGCCTGTTGCCATTGTTCCCAAATGTCTTTGCTGGAGGCGGAATTGCCCCGCCCTTCCTGGTCCAGGCTAAGTAATCAGCTCGGGTTTGCTCTCAGGAGCTTTTGTTCCCTGCAAGCTTTCCGAACAGGTTTGGAGGACGAGAGTGAAAATGGCAGTCTCCCAATCTCCGCCCCGGAGGAGCCAAGGACTCGGGGGCCCACTCCTCAGTGAGCCCGCAGAGAAAAGCAGTCAGTCACTCCCATCTCCCCGGTCTCCGGCCGCACTCCGTGCTCACCCGGCCTGTGACTGAGCGTTTCTATCTGTGGCACCCAACCCTGTGTGGAGTCTCCAAACCAGCAGATCCCTGCGGTGCGCTCCCGCGCCGCTCCTCCCGGGGGAGGAAGGGGAGTCTCCCCAGCTCTGCCGCTTGTTGGGTCCCTGCTGGAGGAGGAGTGGCCCGACTGTGCCGCGGATCACGTTTTATGGCAACCCCGAGCTGAGAGCCCGCGCCTCAGCTCCGTCTCTGCAGCTGGCTTCCCCGCTCGGATACCTGGGACCTCTGCTGCACTCAGGCATCCCTGGTCTTTCTGTGACCCTGAGGGTCCTGAGACCACACTGTCCTACGAGGGTTCCACCCCCCGCTTAGCCACTGGAGCGACGTCCCTCAGCGGAGCCGACTTCTAAAAGTTCTGATTTTGGTGTTCTGCTGCTCTATCTCTTGCCAGAAGTGGCCGACAGAAGACCCCTCCCCCACCGTCTATCCTCCCGAATATCGCCTGGGATTCACTTCTCTGACATCCTACCTTCCAGAAAGTGGTCGCTTTTCTGTTCAGAGCGTTGTTGCTATTCTTCTCTTCAATCTCCTGTTGAGTAGGTGTTCAGAATGGTTTGATCCCTATCCAGCTGAATTCCTGGGACCAGATGAAATCCAGGTCTCTTACTCTTCCACCATCTTGCCAATATTTTCTAATTTTCCTTCCTCTCTCTCTTTTTTAAGATATTATTTTTTTGAGAGAGAGAGAGAGAGAGCACAAGGTGGGGGAAGGGTTGAGGGGAAAGGGAGAAGCAGACTCCCCACTGAGCAGGGAGCCCTAATCGGGGCTCGATCCCAGGGCCCTAAGAACATGACCTGAGCTGAAGGCAGACGCTTAAAGACTGAGCCACCCAGACACCCCCAGTGTCTATTCTTTTGTACCTCGCTGCTTTTGTTCAGTATAGTGATTTAAGATTTATCCGTGTTATTGTGTGTACTAATCATTTGTTCCTGTTAATTGCTGAGTAGAATTCTACTGTGTGATTATACTACAGATTGTTTTTATTTTTTTAATGGATAACCTCACGAATTTACATGTCATCCTTGCACAGGGGACTTGCTAATCTTCTCTGTATTGTTCCAAGTTTAGTATATGTGCTGCACCAGATTGTTTATTCCTGCTCCTGTTGACAGACATCTGTACCGTGTTTCGTGTTTGGTTGCCCGAATGCAGCTGCTATGAACAATTTTGTACAATTTTGTCTTTTTGTGTACATGTATTTTCTTCTTCATTGGGGAAATACCTAGAAGAGTAATTGCCATGTCCTCATGCACAATTCTGTATAACCTTACTTTTCAAAAGAGTTATCCAAAGTGACTGTATATTTTTACACTCTTGCAAGGTAGGTAGGAGAGTTTCAGTTGTTCCACATACTGACATTCAAAATTGTCTTTTTATTATGATAGTTCTAGTAGATGCAATATAAGAATGTGCTTAAGGTGATTTACAGACAAACTTTTGAAAGGGACTGAATTTTTACTAACGTGTGTTCCACTTTTTTCAGAATATGCTTATAGACGTGAAATCACAGAGGCTGTTGGTCTTCCAAACATTCCTGTTCATCCAATTGGATACTATGATGCACAAAATCTCCTGGAGTAAGTTTGTTAGCAACAAACAGATGGCTGTTTGGATATTTCTCTTTATTGGCAGTCTTCAACTACTGGCAATATTCAACATCTGAATATTTCTTCAATATTCAGGAATGCTGAAATTCTCTTAGATGGTAGAACCTATAATTTTGTCACCATTTTAAAGAATAGTGGTTCTATTCTGGAATTTACGTTACGTAGTGGTATCCAGTGTGTGACAGTCATGAAAATGAGACTTTCAGTTCACCACCTGTAGGGGTGTGATTGATCAGTGGCGCTAGCTACTGCACTTTGAAATCTCTCACCCTGTTTGTATCAAGGCCTTGCTTCCCACAGGCATTCCCAGTCAGTGACTGGTTGCAGCAGGGACAACTAAAACAGGCCCATCACTGGGAAGCACAGGGCTCCTCTCATGGGAGACTTTGGCTCAGGATTCCATGGCAGGCTTGCCCAACTAGACGCCGCCATCCACCACTATTTCCTTCCTTCTCTTTCTCCTGCACACCACGTGAGACCTACATTGCAGTCTGTTGGCTTTTTCAGCCTTGCCCCCCACCCCTTGCTATTTCTCTCACAGGCTTTTCCCCTAAGAAATCTCTTACTCATCTCATCCTCGTATTATCCATGACTTGGGTGACCTGGAATAACATAGTATAAGAGCAATTCCATTTTATTTTCCTCTCTATTCCTCTTCCCCCTCTGCTTTCCTGACATTGCAACTGTTTCCCCTTTCCTGCCCTGCTTTCTCCCATCTGCATGTCCCTTCTTGTCCAGTGTCCTTTAGGAGGGAGAGAACATGACTTCTCTATAAGTAGAATTGTGAGAGAAGCATCTGGCCAGATAGTACCTTTTCTCAAATAATAAGGCATTCTTAATCATTTTATTCCAGTTTCCATAAGAAGTCTTTTTATGACCTAATGCAAGGCCCTCCTTTGAGGAGGCTGACATTCAGAGAAGTGGAGGGATTTGGAGAAGTGGATTCAGGAATAGCACCTTGGTCTCTTTTGCTTTTGGGCTCTTAGCTTTGCCACATGGGTTAGAATTCAGGATTCAGGCACAAATTTTGAGGGCACCATGGCTATGTGTTTATCTAAACATATTTGTAAAGTCTAAATATTTGTGATATTTAAAAGATGAAAGTGATCATAACATAACTTATAATAGTGGAAAACTGTAAATAACACATCTTTAATAATTGGTAAGTAGATACATCACTGGCTATGATGTGCATGGATCCATTAAAATATATGTTGTACAAGAATATTTAATGATATGGAAACACACTTATGCTATACTACTAAGTGGAAGTGGCAGATTTATCTAGATATCTAGATATATATAGATATATCTATATATAGATATGCAGAGACATATAGAGAGAATAATCTCATTTATGTAAAAGTTTTTTTTAAATAAGCCTGTATTATCTTTGTAATTAGAAAAAGAGTGCATGAAAAGAAAGAAAGAAAGATCATATAGAATTGATTTGAGGTGTACTTAACTATGTCTAGCATTTGATGCTCCTTAGATTAAGTAGGTCAATGTCAGCTATATCCTAAATGTGGACTTAGAATTACTTGATTGGAAAAAATCACAAATGTAGTTTGTCTCTAATATACTAGCTTCTTTAAGCCATCTTGTAAATGCAATCACCATTAATAAGATAACTTCCATGGAAAAGTGCATTTTGCTTTGAAAACACCATAATTAAAAATGAACTTTGGAAGCACAATCCACTTGGAAATAGGAGATGATCTTTATATATTAAAAGCAGGAAGACAGCTCCTATATTTTTTCTTTTTCTTTTTTTAAGATTTTATTTTTAACCAATTCCTACAGGCAATGTGGAGCTCGAACTCACAACCCTGAGATCAAGAGTCACATGCTCCACCGACTGAGCCAGTTGGGCCCCTCTCCTATTTCATTTTCCATACTTTCCAAGATAAAATGAAACATTCTACATGATTGGAATTTAGTCTTATAATTTTTTTCAAAGAACATATAATTTGTTTATGAATTTTACTGTGTAAATTTACTCCCTCTGCACACTTAGGTTAGAAGTATGCTCGTTGTCCCTGATAGTCAATTCTCAGATGCTCACAAACAGTTAGTCATTTAACATTATGTATTAGTTGGAAAAGATGTTTTACAAGTTGGATACATCATAAAATGAGAATTTCTTAATAAATGTGTGAGAAGACGAGGAGAGATATAAAATCATATAATGGCCCAAGAGTGCTGAGAATTTCAATAAAAGTTGATGAGATGTGAGTTAAAGGAAAGCAAAACCACATTTACTTGGGTGGGAGGGATTCCCATCTATACTGAAGGGAATGTGATTATATGGCTTTCATTTGCCTCCCCGAGTAACTACTAGTATTATGATAGCAACACCAACAATAATGACAGTGATAATAATAGCATCTATCATGCTTTTATTTGTCAATTTTGTTCATCTTTTCTCAAAGAATCAACTTTTGGTGTCATGGGTTTTCTCTATTTCCTTCCTCTATTCTCTAATTATTTTTGTTACAATCTTTATTATTTCCTTTCTCATGCTTGATACAAGCTTAGTTTGCTCTTTATTGTCCAGTTTTTTAAGGTGGAAGACTAGTTTATTGATTTGATGTCTTTCTACTTCTTAAATATAGATGTTTACGACTATACATTTCTCTCCAAGCACTGCTTTAGCTAAATCCAATAAGTTTTGATATGTTGTGTCTTCATTTCCATTCATCACCAAGTATTTTCTAATTACTCTTGTGATTTTTTCTTTCAGCCATTGGGTATTTAGGAGGCAGCTGTTTGATTTCCATATATTTTCATATTTCCCAAATTCCCACCTGTTATTGATTGCTAAATTATTTCTTTTGTAGTTGGATTAATAAACAGATTATATAATTAATAAAAGGGTTGCATGATCTCAGTCATTTAAATTTATTTAGACTCATTTCACAGCCTAATATATAGTCTATCCTGGTAATATATTCCATTTGGACTTGAGAAGAACGTGTATTTAGCTGTCGTCAGATAGAGTGTTCCAGATGTGCCACTGGATATTTCTGGCTTGCCAGCTTTTTCAGCTCTAAGTCTGGAGTAGATACCAAAAAGTAAACTGAAGGAACTCACCACTGTGCCTTTTCTTGTACTCTGAGGTCCCAAGCTAGTGTGTTTTCTTCTCTCCACCCTTCAGAGCCTAATGTTTGTTTTCTATACACTTATGGTCTGGAGAATTTAGTTGTACTTAGCAGGAAGAATAGGGTAAAGCACATTTCCATTTTTCTAGAAGCAAAGTTTTACTCCTTTTCAAGCTTCTGTCATGGTACCCTAGTCATCTTATAGCACAGCCAAAACAGTCACCATGCCTTACAGTTGCTCTATACTTCTCTGCATCTGTACCTCTTTATACCATACTTTGTACCTGGAATGCTCTCCACGTCATCTTCCCATGCCAAGATCTTAACTCATCCTTTAAAATTCAAACAAGTAAAACCTCTAGAAAGTTGCTCATGATCCCATAAGCTAAATCAAGCTTTCTTTTGTCTATATTCTTTACAACTTTCTCTATCATTTGTTTTGTTTTGTTTTATATTATAGTTGGCTTTATATGTATCTTCTTCTGATTAACTTCTGACTACACTCTTGGGTAGAACCACCGTGTCATGTACATATCTGTGTTCCTTAGTGAGTAGAACACATTATCTTGAACATTGTAGACAATCTTTGCCAAATGGACAAAAAAAATTAATTTGCTACAGGATATAGATTTTAAATGCAATGCTGTTTATACATATATGTTGAGCATCTCCTAGCCAATCAAATCTTTTCAGAGACATTTTCAACATTTACTTATATTTCCTGAATTTTTATGGTTTGAAAGTTTAATATTCAACTTTTTAATTTTCTTGGAATTTATGTTTTATTTATAGAGTGAAGTAAGTACCTAAAGAAGCTTATATCCTTAATTATATCAGTTACATTTATTGACTAAAACTTCTGTTCTCCACAGATGTATGATATTTCCTAAATTGATACATCAAATTCTTATATACAACTATTATATTCTGTTCCAGTCATCTGTTTGCTTGTTCTTGTGGGGCACTACAACTGTAGCTTTATATTTTATTATTTTGTGGGAATATGGACTATTCATTACCTTCCTTATGTTATAATACACAATTTACCATTATTCTTCCTGATGATTTACCTTCTTTTGTTTTTCATATTTTTATTTTGAAAAGGAAATAACATTTACACAGTTCAAAATTCAAAGGGGTATACATAAAAGGTTTCCATCTTACCCATTTACACCCCAAAAGCAATTAGTATTGTTAATTTAAAATATATCATTATAGAAATATTTTATGTATAATCCAGTATAGGTACATATTTCTTCACTTATGTTCCACAACATTTTTGCATACTTAATACTCTGCTGTTTTGACTGATTATGCTTTCTATTATGTAAAATGCCTCTCTTCATGTTACTTGATGCTCTTTATGTGAAATTTTATTATAAAGAGATAAATTGTATAGTATATTACTTGAAATTATGTTTATTAGCCAAACTCCTTAGTGAGATAGGAAAAAAAGTAAGCATTTACTCTCTGATAGAACATTTTAAAACAGAAATATTACTTATAATTAGTTTTCTATGAGAAGATAATCTAATCGATTGTTTTAGTATTGTGTGTGCAGTAGAGTCTAGGTCAAGTTGAACTGTTCACATTTCCTCAGATAGGCAGGCAGGGAACAGCAGCTGTGTGTAGGCACAGAACAAAGGAGGGAGCTGCAGAGCGTGCTCCACAGTGAAGCCTGGGGTGCGTGGGGGTCTTTGAGGATAGATAAATTCATAAAAGATAGATTGATCTTTTCCATGTTCTTAATTTTCCCTTGAACCACATTCTTCTTTTTGCTGCAGTTTAGCAAGGGCACATTTGGTTTCCATGCTGAAATCAAGAATAAGTCAATCAGTGCTCTTAAAAGAGTAAAGGCAGATATGTTGAAGTAAAACCACAAGAACCCCTTCATTCCATAAACATTATCATGTTATCTTTCTCAGTCACCTGCTGAGAATTAACCAGGGCTAGTGGCATGTCTGGCTGGTCTGCCTGAATCTTTCTACCTTTTTATATTTTTTTTAAAGATTTTTATTTTATTTTTTTTATTTGACAGAGAGAGAGAGTACAAGCAGGGGTAGCAGCAATCAGAGGGAGAAGGAGTCTCCCTGCTGAGCAGGGAGCCGGATGTGGGGCTTCATCCCGGGACCCTGGGACCATGACCCGAGCCACTCAGGTGCCCCCTACCTTTTTAAATTAAAAAAAAAACATGAAGCTTTTAGGGCCTGTTGATTGAAGTGAAATCCTTTCCTTTGCTCTTCTTCACTCCCTAATAGATGTGTGTGAAAGGACTTTGTAAAAGTTGACCGTACACATATTTGGGGATATATTTATCAGTGGGAGAAGTAACAAAATAGAAAATCCCAGAGTTTGACGTCAGAGCTCTTTCCCCAGTGTGTGTCCTGGAAAGCGCTTTTGTAAACTGGCTTTCTTTTAGAAACTGGGGACGCAGAGTCTGGATTCTGACCAGATGTTTGACCCTCAGCTGTACCACTTACCAGCTGCATGACTTCAAGCAGGTTACCTGTCTCTCTCAGCCTCACACCTCTCATCTTTGAAGTGGGAGTAACAGTAGATCCCACCTCGTAAGAGCCGTAGGAAGGGGGAAATGGCATATCCCTGACTCATAGAGACCGTTATGAGCAGGCACTCAAGAAAGCGAACTCACTGACATTTTAACTGTTAGCTGCAAAATATTCCTTCAGCTGATAATACTTTTTGCGTTCAACAGGAAAATGGGTGGGGCAGCGCCGCCAGATAGCAACTGGAAAGGAAATCTCCACGTGCCCTACAATGTTGGACCTGGCTTTATTGGCAACTTTTCTACAAGGTTAAGAGACTATTTCTATCATAACTCTCTTTTGGGGAAGGAAATCTTGTTTTTCAAAAAAACAATTACAGAGGATGACTGAAAAAGTAAAATATATCTAGTACCGGCAGGAAACAAAACCACAGGTTGTAGACAGGAGTACACTTGCCTCCTTGGTATCGGACAATGGAACAATGGAATTCTTGCATGTGTACATTTAGAAATCTTTAAAATGATGTAAGAGGTAAAAAAAACCTGGGGAGGGGGGCAAAGCGTTAACCAGTGTTTTCAGAATGTGTCCTTTATTTTTGCTTTAGAAAAGTCAAGATGCACATCCATTCTAACAACAAAGTGACAAGAATATACAATGTGATTGGAACTCTCAGAGGAGCAGTAGAACCAGGTAAATTAATCATTTGCTCAGCAAATATCGATTGAGCAATTCTTCTGGGCCAGGTACTCCTCTGAGCTCTGGGAATGTAGGGTGAACAGAACACAGCAACTCTTTGCCGTAATGGAACTTACACAAACACAGAATACATAAATATGAGGTAATTTTGTATTGTAATACATGTTGTGAAGAAAAGGAAATGTGGGGCTAGGCTGGTTAGATGCCCAAGGTTAGTTAATGTTAAGCTGTGCATGCTTCAGTTAAATGATCAAGGGGGCAAGGGCAGGAAGAGGTCATTCTGAGGTATTTTCTCAGGGTTTTCTGGATTAGTTTGCCACATATTTTGCTTGGGGAAATATCTTCATGATAGCTACAAGCATCTATACAAAAGATAACACTCTTAGAAAATTCAGGTAACCTTGTGGTGCTTAGGTGGCTCAGTCGGTTAAGCATCCAACTCTTGATTTCGGCTCAGGTCCTGATGTCAGGGTCATGAGACTGAGCCCCGTGTCGGGCTCCACGGTCAGCATAAGATTCTCTGTACAACCTGGCTCATGTGCGCTCACTCTCTAAAAACAGAAAGAAAATTAAGGTAACCTTGAATTAATGAATCCTTCACATAGTTTTATTTTCCCTGGAAGTTAATAAGATATATAGACACATGATTTCCACAGAATTTCAGATGACCTACAGATTAATACTTTTTATAAATAGTCTTCATTATGTTTGAATTCCTTAGGAATTATGGATATATATTTGTTACGCACAAGCATTACACATATTTTTCTTAGAAGCAGCCAAAGCTTGCTTTCAGTGATAAAGAATATTGGTATCGGTATGCTTTTAGTGAGTACTAAACAATATATAATGGGCAATTCATTGAATCTTCCTGAGTACCTATTTTGTGCTGGCTCTGTATTAGGCATGAAGGATGAAGGGATAAAATGAGAACAAGGAACCACACATTCAAGTGTGGTAAATGTTGGTCAGATATGATAGGATTGCTCTGAGGGCTGGATCGTGGGAGCAGTTCCCTCCCGTTTGGAAGCTAGGAAAGAGTCATAGAGGAAGAAAATTGCTGAGCTGTACCTTGAAAATTGACCAGAAGGATTAGGAAGCAGAGAACCTACTATGTGGCCACTGCATTCTCTTACTCTGAAAATGCTGGAAGCAAAGTGACAAGTAGGTAAGAGAGGAGTAACAGAATTATAAAGAGAGGTGGATGGAATAATTTCTATCCTTCTATACTTATCATTACCTCTATACTTATGATTACTATCATACGTTGAAGTATACCTTTGCTTATCACATTCATATTTTCTTCATACATCAAAATCAGAACAAAATAGGTATATTTACACAAGTTTTCAGGAACCTTGATATCTTTCTTGGAGTTGTGAATGCTCTCTGTTTGGATGTTCTTGAGTCATTTACAGTTTGCTCCATTGTTGACCTGGAATGACAAGTAATTCTGCAATGATGCTTTCTAGACAGATATGTCATTCTTGGAGGTCACCGTGACTCATGGGTGTTTGGTGGCATTGACCCTCAGAGTGGAGCAGCTGTTGTTCATGAAATTGTGAGGAGTTTTGGAACACTGAAAAAAGAAGGTAATATATACAGAAAGTAAAAAGATCAGCCTCCCTGAATCTCAGTGTAGTCCTCTGTAAAGTGTGTAAAATTACCACCTTCTCATATGATTATGTGAAGTGTCACCTGAGAGGATGTATGCAAAGTATACCACCCTAGTAGCATTGAGTACTTAGTAATACCTACTAGCATAGAACAGCTTTCAATAACTAGTGGCTATATTACTCATGTGGGTTAGTTAATTATATTGTTTATTTATTTTTGCTTATTTATAGAATAATGTTTACATTATTGATATTCATAAAATTATAATCTGAAATAAAGGAATTCTGTTAGGGGTTGCTCTTGACAACAAAGAAGGTGGAAATGGGTTTCTTCACAGGAGAGGACAAACCAAAATAGGTCATAGGCCAAAGTGTCCTGATCAGAGAACTGTGAGCATGAGTTTCTTGGGCCCTTCTAGCCTCACACGTCAGGTCAAGTGTCCCAAGTGAGGAGATGGAAGCTTTCTCAGAAAAGTACTGGTCTTGCTGCCTAATAGGATGTCTCAAAAGTTTGATGTTTACATTCCCACACCCCCAGCCTTGGTTTGTTCTCTGGAGATTTAAGTTTCTCCTCCTAGCACAATTGCTTCAATCATTTTAGAATCTTCTTATGAAAACAAAGATAAGATTGAATTCAAATGGCTGCTTTTTAAAATAAATTACGCCTTGAGAGCAGAAAATCCACGCTGTGTACTGACCCTGCAAATTAGGGTTTGGGGCTGGAAATGTGATCCAGGTATTTTTTTTAGCAACAATAAAAACAATGGCAAAAATATATTAAGTTTGCATGGTGCTCGTTTCCTCAGAGAACCAGTGTTTTCACATGTTCTCTATTTTGAACTCTTAGCAACCAGGGAGAAGTCTAGTTATTTCTGTTCTCGTTTCACCAAGAAGCTAATCAAGGTTTATAGAATCCAGTTATATAGCTAGTGTGTGGTGTACCTAGTATGTGGCAGAGTCAGAGAACCAGGGTTTCAACTCAAATTTCTGGCTACCTATCCACAAAGCCATGTTTCTCTTTAAAACAAAATGGTAAAGGGCTCTATTCTTTTTTTCTGCACGATTCTCTTGTATTTTAAGAACACAGAATTATGAGGGCTTGAATCTACATAGCTCACGAATTAGCTAGTGTTTAACAGTAGTACAAAAAAATGCCATGATTTTGCAATAAGACTCCCTACGATGAATACAAAACATCACAGTGACAATGAAAGCATGCCAAAAGAATGCAGTGATGAGGAATGACAATTCATAGGAAATTTGAATAATATCATGAACAAACTTGACAAAAATAAAACACTGGACTCAGCTGTAGGGATACATATTCTTAATAAGCACAATTTAACTATTTACTAAAATAATGACAAGTTTTTGGAGCACGTATAAAGTGCTGTATTTGTAAACATGACTCCATTCAGTCTTCCCCCAAATCAAGTAGTATCTTCATCTTTACCTTGCTACTCCTGGGGTACAGATGAAGAAAGGGAAACTGAGGAAGCTTGCATAACTTCCCCTCAGTCCTACTGCTAGTAAGTGAAAGAACTGGTAATCGAAATAAGATCTTTCTTGAACTCCAAGGTCAGTGTTTCTAACTCCCAGCCATATCACCTCCTTATTGAGCAGTGCTAAGTTATTGTAACCCCCACAGACATCGGTACTGCTAACAGAGCTTCTGTTGACAAATTCTGGCAGAGAATGGAGTGAAATCACACAACCAGCTGACACTGAACCATTGTTTGTGCAATGCCAGAACATGGAAGGGTTGTAAGGAATTTTCTCTCAGTTTTATCTGCTCTCAGAACACAGACCACATCTAGCACTTTCTTCTTTCTCTCCGGGCAGCTGCAGAACCAGATGGCTGCCTGTGTGTATCCAATCATATACACCGATTAGAATATTATGACCTCACAGAATTTTTGCTGTGTCTACGTTTTCCCCCTTTTCAGTGCAAATGTGCTCTTTTGTATGGACAAATCAGCTTTAAAAATCTCACATAAGGAAATTATATAAGTAAAAATTCTCACCAGAGTTCACCTTTCCTAAACAACCAGTGAAGTTTTAGTGTTGTTTTTCTGTGGAGTTTTACAATGTCTTGGATATATTATGCATTTTCCCAGCATTTATATGTCTATACATATATTTTAGGATGGAGACCTAGAAGAACAATTTTGTTTGCAAGCTGGGATGCAGAAGAATTTGGTCTTCTTGGTTCTACTGAGTGGGCAGAGGTTAGTTGATAATTTGCTACAATATAAATTTTCATTATAGCAAAGCATTTAGGACTTAATTCTCAAGGATGTTAAAAATAACAAGTGATTTCAATGAGAACATATTCAGACTTTTTTCCAAAATCTGAAACAACACATCCTTGTTTAAAAATAACAATCTCTTTGTATTAAAGAACTGTTTGGTTTGAACTTTTGAAGCCACTTAATGTTACTTGTCAAAATGATTAATCTTCATTTTCTGGGAGTGTGACAGTAAATAAGTAAATTCCCTAGAAACCAAACATCAAAATAAGAGATCATTTTTTCTATTGTCCTTTCCAAATTAGCTCCTAAAGCTAACCATATTTAAATCCCTTCTTGAGCCTGAACAGTAAGGTATACTTTTCACATTTATGTTCCTTATATGACTGACTCTAAATTAAATCATGGTAAAAATGAGGCAGGAAGTCTCACTGCAGAATATTTGATAGGCCCCTTTGGAAGTAATTTTACCTTTACACAGAAGATGTTATACACAAACCAAATAGTAACCACAGATCAGAAATCAGTAATGGATATGCAAAAAATAAAGAGACAGGAATCCAAGTCTATCACTAGAGAAAGCCAACTAACCGTGAAAGAAGAGAGCCAAAGAAGAAAGGAACAGAGAGGAACTATAAAAACAACCATAATACAAGTGACAAAATGGCAATAAGTACATCCCTATCAAGAATTACTTTGAATGTAAATGGACTAAACATTCCCATCAAAAGACAAAAAGCAGAATGGATAAAAAAGCAAGACCCATCTACATGCTGCCTACAAGAGATTCATTTTAGACTTAGAGACACATGCCAACTGAAATTGAAGGGATGGAGAAATATTTATGCAAATGGATGCGAAAAGAAATCTGGGGCAGCAATACTTATATTGGACAAAATGGACTTTAAAACAAAGACTGTAACAAGACAAAGGACACTGTATAATCATAAAAGAAACAATCCAACAAGGAGATAAAACAATTGTAAGTATTTAGGCACACAACATGGGAGCACCCAAATACATAAAGCAGTTAACAACAAACATAAAGGAACTAATTGATAGTAATACAGTAATAGTAGGAGAATTTGACACTCCATTTACATCAATAGATAGATTATCCAAACAGAAAATCAGTAAGGAAATAGCGGTTTTGAATGACACTTTGGGTCAGATGGATCTAACAGATACATTCAGAATGTTCCGTCCTAAAACAGCAGAATACACATTCTTTTCAAGTCTACATGGAATGTTCTCCAGAATATATCATATATTAGGTCACAAAATAAGCCTCAACAAATTCACAAAGATTGAAGTCATACCATGCATCTTTTCTGACCAGAACACTATGAAACTATGTCAACCACAAAAAAAAAAATCTGGAAAGAGCTCAAATACATGGAGGTTAAATAACATGCTACTAAACAATGAATGGGTCAACCAAGAAATGAAAGAGGAAATAAAAAAATACATGGAAGCAAATGAAAATGAAAACAAAATGGTCCAAAATCTTTGGGTTGCAGCAAAAGCTGTTCTAAGAAGGAAGTTTATAGCAATACAGGTCTACCTTAAGAAGCAAGAAAAATCTCAGATAAAAAACCTAACCTTACATCTAAAAAAACTATAAAAAGAAGAACAAACAAAACCCCAAATCAGTAGAAGGAAGGGAACTATAAAGATTAGAGCAGAAATGAACGAAATAGAAACTAAAAAAAAAAAAAAAAAAATACAACAGATCAATGAAACCAGGAGCTGCTTCTTTGAAAAGATCAATAAAATTGATAAACCTTTAGCTAAACTCATCAAAAAAAAGAGGACTCACACAAAATCAGGAATGAAAGAGGAGAAATACCAACCAACACTACAGATATACAAAGGATTATAAGAGAATATTACGAAAAATATTATGAAAAATTATATGTGCCAACAAACTGGACAACCGAGAAGAAATGGATAAATTCTTAGAAACATAATTTGGGGTGCCTGGGTGGCTCAGTCATTAAGTGTCTGCCTTCAGCTCCGGTCATGATCCCAGGGTCCCGGGATCAAGCCCTGCCACCGGGCTCCCTACTCAGTGGGAGGCCTGTTTCTCCCTCTCCCACTTCCCCTGCGTGTGTTCCCTCTCTCACTGTCTCGTTCTCTGTCAAATAAATAAATAAAATCTTTTAAAAAAACATAATTTATATAATTTATCAAAACTGAATCAGGAAGAAATAGAAAATTTGAATAGACAAGTTACCAGCAATGAAATTGAATCAGTAATCAAAAAATTCCCAACAAACAAAAGTCCAGGACCAGACAGCTTTACAGGTGAATTCTACCAAAAATTTTAAAAAGTGTTAATACCTATTCTTTTCAAACTAATCCATAAAATAGAAGAGGAAAGAAAGCTTTCAAATTTATTCTTTGAGACAAGATTACCCTGATAACTAAGACCAGATAAGGACACTACACAAAAAGAACTACAAGCCAATATGCAAAATCCTCAACAAAATATTAGCTAACTGAATCCAATGATACATTTAAAAAAACCATTCACCACAATTAAGTGGGATTTAATCCTGGGTGGTTCAATATTTGCAAATCAACCAATGTGATACATCACATTAGCAAGAGAAAGGGTAAAAAACATATAATCATTTCAGTAGATGCAGAAAAAGCTTTTGACAAAGCACTACATCTATTTATGATGAAAACCCTCAACAAAGGTTTAGAGGGAACATACCTCAACATAATAAAGACCATATATGAAAACCCACAGCTGACATCATGTTCAATAATGCCTTCCCTAAGGCAAGGGAGACAAAAACAAAAATAAACTATTGAGATATCAAAAAAAAACCTTCTGAACAGCAAAGGAAACAATAAATAATACTGAAAGACAGCCTACTGAATAGGAGAAGATATTTGCAAACGACTTACCCGATAAAGGGTTAGTATCCAAAATAAAGAACTGAACAACTCAACACACAAAAACCAATCTGATTAAAAAATGAGCAGAAATCATGAACAGACATTTCCCTAAGAAGATATATAGATGACCAATGGGCACATGAAAAAATGCTCAACATCACTCATCATCAGGGAAATGGGGATCAGAACCACAATGAGGTATCACCTCAGACCTGTCAGAATGTCTGAAATCAAAAACAAAAGTGTTGACAAGAATGTGGAGAAAAAAGAACCCTCATGCACTGTTGGTGGGAATGCAAACTGGTGCACACTGTGGAAACCAGTATGGAGGTTCCTTAAAAAATTAAAAATAGAATTACTATATGATCCAATAATTCCACCACTCAAATAATATGAAAAACACTAATGCAAAAAGATATATGCACCCCTATGTTTATAGCAGCATTATTTACAATACCCAAATTATGGAAGCAGCCCAAGTGTCCATCAATAGATGAATGAATAAAGAAGATATGAGATATATATATATCTCATTATATACACACACACACATATATGTGTGTATATATATATATATATATATAATGGAATATTATTCAGCCATAAAAAAGAACGAAATCTTGCTATTTGCAATAACATGGATGGATCTAGAGAGTATAATGCTAAGCGAAATAAGTCAGAGAAAAATGAATACCATATGTGGAATTTAAGAAACAACCAAAGGTGGGGGAGAGAAACCTCTTGGTTTGTCTGTTTCAGATTCACCACCTAAAGTTGCATATTTTTTCTACTTCCTTTCTTACTGTCGGGATGCTTAGGAAATTACATGTTTTGGAGATTCAAAATCCACTTGATAGCTCAGAAAAAAAAAAAAAACAACACAGAAAAACCCTGCTACACGTTTTGTCAGCATTTTACTATTGTGCAATGATCAGTCTTCACCAGTAGGTGGTGTCATCCTACAGAAGAACTTCATGCTTCCGCGTATAGTATGGAAACCACATGTTTTTAAAACATAAATTTGAAATTATTGACTCAGGCGAGATTCTCTTAAATAAAGAGATGTTCATGGGGGGGGCGCCTGGGTGGGTCAGTTGGTTAAGCGTCCCACTTTTGAGCTCAGATCAAGTCTTGATCTCAGGGTCATAAATTCAAGCCCAATTGGGCTCCACGCTGGTCTTGAAGCTTACTTAAAAAAGAGAGAGAGAGATTGAGAAGAGATGTTCATAGGAACATTTCCGCGAAGGGGTTTCTATCTTATGTCATTCATGTTTGCTAAGAGAATTTCTTAAAGAGTAAACCATGGCATGGTTAAAGGAATCAACTCCTTTTCTATTTACCATATTAAGAATATGGGCAGGTTCATCTTAAATTTTAGTTTTAAAAATGTTTTGCTTGTTATTTCTTAGAATAATCTTTATCGGAATTATTTCAAACAAAACTCTGTTTTCAGAATCTTATATATCAATTTTGTGGTCAACTTGTTTCAAATATCTCCACACAGCACATGTAGATGTACATTGTTTTAGGGGGAGGTTATGGTATATGTTTATGGTTTTCTTTCTTTTTTATTATAGGAGAATTCCAGACTCCTTCAAGAGCGTGGTGTGGCCTATGTTAATGCTGATTCTTCTATAGAAGGTGAGTAACGTTGGTTTCATAGGAAAAGATGTGATCTAGTACACGAACTAGTAGCAGCCACTTAGTTCGTAAATGATGCTCCAGTAGAGAAGGCAAATCCAGTACATGTGGTTAGGGACTCTGCTGCTGGTGGGTCTGGCTGTGCGCTTGCCTCACAGCAGCTGTGAGCCCAAGAGTGCTAATTTGGGAAAGCAGACCTCTCTGATTTGCTTCATCTGGCAGATTTTCTTGTCTGTGCTAGGGATCGTAAATACCTGTTAAATGGGTAAATAAATAATAGAACTAAAGATTTCTATGGTTTTAGAATGGCGTAGCAAACAAGTATAAATATAATGCTAGTTTTATCATATCATGCATATAGATTTTGGAAAAGAATACTGATGTCCAAGTATTTTTTTCTTAATTTTTTTTCCAATTCAATGAATCGTTATTGAGCACTTCTCTCCGTAATGTACTTTCCAGTACTTCAAAGGAATCAGAGGTTAGTAAAGAACAGTCTTGCACTCAGGAGTTTGTGGCTCAGTACAAACGATAAATTAGTCTAGGATTTTAATAGATGCAGGTACCATGAAAAGGCCATATGGGCACCTGGGTGGCTCAGTTGGTTAAACGCCTGCTTCGGCCCAGTGTCTGACTTCGGCTCAGGTCTCTCTCTCCCTCTCTCAAATAAATAAATAAAATCTTTAAAAAATCATATTACTATTTTTAAAAAAGGCTATAATCAGACTGGTCTAGGAGTTCAGAGGAGAGAATAGTAGCAAGTTCAGGAAAAGCCTGAGAAATGACACTTGAGACTGGCCTTTAAGAACATATTTGCTTTTGATAAGCAGAGATTTGAACGAAAGACATCGTCAGGTCTATTTCCAAGATCAAGCAGTCCACTGCCACTACCCTGCACACCCACTCATCTTTCTGTTCTTGACCATATGCTCCTTCCCGGATAGTGCACCTGCTGTTCTCAGTACCAGATAGTTGTTCAACACACTCTACCTGTTTAATTCTTATCCTTATAGCCTCCTCTGAACTGTTACTTTTTCAGGGAAGCCCTGTCTTTAGCACTCATCACTGCCATGGATAAACAACTATTTGCTTTACAAACTACTTCTCTTACTAGGCTGTCTTCTTCAGCCAGGAACAGACAGGATCTTGATAACTCATGGTTTCCTAATGTCTTGTTAAAGAAAGACGTGTTGCACAGATACAGCAAATGAATGAGTCAATGAACGCAGGGTGGGCTTTTAGAATCTTCCCTGTAGTGTAGGAGTAAACTTTCCGTATCAGCAGTAATTGAGACATTGCATTTTGCTGGAGACATGTTGCCATGTACATATCTTCGTCCACCTGTCTGAGTTACATCGTCCAAGGAGGTAGCTCACGCAGTGCATTTCAGCCATCCTGCCCTCCTCTTATGTTGGTGGTGAAGGGCCTGGCCTTCCTTGTGGCACTGCCACTTTCTCATTGGGTGACCTCAGGTTGTGACTTACTTTCCGTGTCTGTTTTCTCACCTCTAAATAGAGTTACCGGGCTGCCTGGGTGCCTCAGTCAGTTAAGCGTCTGCCTTTGGCTCGGGTCATGATCCCAGGGTCCTGGGTTCGAGTCCTGCATCGGGCTCCCTGCTCAGCGGGGAGTCTGCTTCTCCCTCTCCCTCTGCCTGCTGCTCACCTGCTTGTGCTCTCTCTCTCTCAAACAAATAAAGTCTTTCAAGAAAGGGAAAAAAAAAAAGAAAAACACTTAAAAAATAAAAAAAATAGAGTTACCAAGAGTACGTATCTCCAAGGATTTTATCAGGGCAAAAGCGGTTATATTTGCAAAACTCCCAGACCTGTGCCTCTCACAGAGTAAAAATTCAAAAATATTAGCTTGGAACTATTACCCTTATTTAGAAACACATAATCAGATGAAACACCTTTGCTACAGAGAATAAGAACTTAAATGTGTATTTTTCAAAAGTAGAATAATGTCTTTATTGCTAGGTTTGTTTGTAAGATTTGATTTTTAATGGTTTTGATCATTGGAATTTTTATTGTTATGTTAATCGCCATACATTACATCATTAGTTTTTGATGTAGTGTTCCATGATTCA